AAGCATAAAGCCAACTAAGCTCACTAGCAAAGCTCAATAACAAGGCAATCAATGCCTAATTAGAGAGCGCAAATACTTAGCTACACAAACTAAGCAATGTGACTAACAAGGTTACTAAAACCAAATTAGCCACGCAAGGGAGCTACTTTTATGCTACACAAGGAAGAAGGTAACTAGTAAGCTACACAAGCTAACTAATTACAAGAGCAACTACACAAGCTTAAGATATATAAAAGTAATTGCAAGCTTGTGTAATGGGGATGCAAACCCACGGGAAGAACAAGGTTGACACGATGATTTTTCTCCCGAGGTTCACGTGTTTGCCAACACGCTAGTCCCCGTTGTGTCGACTGCTCACTTGGTGGTTCGGCGGCTAATTAGCATCACCCGCTAAGCCCGCACGTCGGGCACCGCAAGAACCTACCCCTTGAGTGAGGGTAGCTCAATGACACGTTTTACTAAAGTTGCTCTTCGTGACTCCCACGGGGCGAGCACAAGTACCCCTCACAAGCACTTCTCCGGAGCGCCGCACAAGCTTTTTGCGGGCTTCGACGGAGACCACCACCAAGCCGTCTAGGAGGTGGCAACCTCCAAGAGTAACAAGCACCACCGGCTTGCAACACGACCACCTAGTGCCACTCGATGCAACCTCACGATGCAATCGCACTAGAATCACTCACTCACACAATCGAATGATCACTATCAAGTATATGTGTGATGGAGGGCTCCCAAGCACTCACAAGCATGGACACTAAGTCCCTTGAGGTGCTCAAGACCACCATGGCCGGCCGAGGGCCACTTCTATTTATAGCCCCAAGGGCTAAACTAGCCGTTACCCTTCATCGGGCAACGGTCGGGCCGACCGGACGCTTCCGGTCGTGTTGACCGGACGCTTGACCTCGATGTCCGTCGCCCCCAGACGCACCACGTGTCCCGGTTCCAACGGTCACTTGACTTGACCGGATGCGGCAGACTTTCAATCGATCGGACGCTGAACCCCAAATGTCCGGTCGTTCAAAGAAGTACCGACCTCGACCGGACGCATCCGGTCACACTTGATCGGACGCAGCCAGCGTCCGGTCACACTCCGGCTTCTCTGCGTCATCGTCGTCGGCTTGACCGGGGCGCACGCACGCCAAATGGGTTCGGTGCATTCAGATCCAGCGTCCGGTCAGTTGACCGACGCCAACATCTTCGCGACTAACTCGTTTTCACTTCTAACTTCATCACCCTTGCTCCAATGTGCTAACCACAAGAACTTGCATCCGGCGCAATAGAAAATAGGCATTCTATTTTCCCGAAAGCGTTAATCCCGCCGAAACAAGCTTTCGGCGGGAGGAAGAGAGGACCCAAACCCATCTCACCCTCGCAAACACCACCTCCTTTGTAAATGTGCCAACACCACCAAGTGTACACCACCATGTGTATGTGTGTTAGCATTTTCATAATCATTTCCCAAAGGATGTTAGCCACTCAACTTGCCACGCCACTCGATCCTAGCGACAATGCAAAGTTAGATCACTCGAGTGGCACTAGATGACCGATATGCAAACAAGTTTGCCCCTCTTGATAGTACGGCCATCTATCCTAAACCCGGTCATAAACTTCTCTACACACCTATGACCGGTGAAATGAAATGCGCTAGGTTATACCTTTGCCTTGCGCATTCCATTCCATCTCCTTCAATGTCGATGCAACACATGCATCAACACGATCAACAATGATATGATCCACTTCATATCATCACATGATCATATTGGTTCATCGATCTTGACTCTACTTGCTCTTCACCGTTGCTATCGTCCATCGGCGCCAAGTCTTGCTCAAGCTTCACCGCCACGCGGTCCATCACTCCAAAGCCTTTGACTTACCATTCACGCTTGCAACCGGTCCATCAAGCCAAGTCTTGTCTTGATCTTCTCCACCTTGATCACATGACTCAATGTCATGTCTCATGTGCAATAAGCTCCTTCATCATCACATGTGTGAGCTTTGCAACATCTCCAAGCCATTTTCACCTTCATGGCATATGTTGCTCATACACATGTACCTGTGGACTAATCACCTGTGTATTTCACATAAACACAATTAGTCCACCTAGGTTGTCACTCAATTACCAAAACCAACAAGGACCTTTCAGTGATGTTGTGCTAGCTTGCATCGTACTTCACAATATGATAGTTGAAGATGAGAAGGAAAAGGACATTATTGAAGAAAATCTAGATCTAAATGTGCCTCCTAGTTCATCAACCGTTCAAGAACCAGAATTCTCTCCTGATCAGAATGTTCCGTTAGAGAGAGTTTTAGAAAAAGATACTTCTATTCGAGATCAATCGGCTCATCGCCGACTTAAGAATGATTTGGTGGAACATATTTGGAATAAGTTTGGTGGTCGTGCACATATATCTGGTACTTGTGACTATCTTTTGCATTATTGATTTCGATGTGTAGAGATGTAGAAATTCATGCCTGCAAGTAGTTGATTTTAGTGTAGAAAAATGCCTGCAGGTAGCTTTTTTTTACGATCAGATGCATATGCAAGTAGCTGTTCATACATGCTGGATGTCTCTACAGACACATGTAGATGCAGCTCACGAACCTCTCTATGTGTTGTATGCTCATTTGTTTGGTTTCAGTAGCACAAAGAGTTATCGATGAGAGACTGTAAAAATGTTAGGATGTGCGATGGTTAAAATCAAACTGGAGCTTGATGTTTCTGCTTTCACAGCTAACCGAGACAGAGCAATATCTAAGACCGAGAAAAATTGTTTGCCGACTAAGGTTAGTTCTGAATTTCTACAAGTGATTCTCATGTATCTCTGAATATGAAATGCTGCAATTTAGGCCGAGAGCTCATGCTCAACTATTTTGTTTCTGCAGGTGAAAGCAACCATATGAATCTCGTGAAAACAACCATATGAAGTGATGGTTGCTCAAGCTTAGCTCTGTAGCTCATTTGGTTAACTTCATTATGGTGATGGTTGCTGCTATCTTGGCCTCAATGTTTAAGAAGTGAATTGAGAGAGAGAGGCTATCTGAATTTTTTATCTCTCAAATAAAAATCTATCTCGCATTTTATCCGAATGAAAATATAGTTGAGTGTTATCTATATTTTATCATGTGTGAATGTGACCGCCCGAAATCTCCCGAGTTATACAATGCCTTACTTGTATGGTTTCTCTCTTATCTGAACCGAAAAGCTCATGTGTGCACTGATGCTTGTATGGTTTCTCTCTTATCGAGAAGAGTACATTTCGCTCCCCGAACCACTCGGTTCCATGGTTTGACAGTTAGTAGTATGGCATTGTATCCGCTTCAAAGATATCTATGGTTTGATAGGATCTATGATCATTTGATATCAGCCGTTTTATTTGATTTGGTCACTTGGTAATGAGTTCAGAGTACCTGATGCTTATGTGCACCTGATGCTTGTCATTCTATTTTGATAACAGTTCCATTCGTTGATTAGGTTGTCACCTGATGCTTTTTTAGCCGACTGAATATAGGCTACTGGAAAAAAAACGTTAAATGTTACCTAGCCGTCTCTATTGCTGAATGTTGCTGAACTTTGCATAGGCGTTTTATTTTGCCATTGAAATCTGATGTCAATCTTTTTTTATACTTGTTTCTTTCCTCCGTGCAAACTGTATTTTTTAAGTGTGCAAACTGACGCAAAAGGCTACATAGTTTGCATACAACATTTGATCCCAACACAGTATACGAATTAAATGCTAAAGCTACCGTATGAAACCGTGAAATGAAACTGTGCATTGAGAGGCCATGTTTCATTCTTAATGTCATGTCTTGAAAACTGGGAGGTGAAACCTGTCACTGAGACTGGCCTAAAGAAATCATTGCACCTGACAGCGACGTACTGCATATAGAGGTTGGGAGCTGCGCTCCGCCAGGAAATACTATTTGTTTCTTGGTTTCGGGATTTTTTTTTTCTCACAATAAATCAGCACCAATCGGATTTATCAACCCAGAAATCAACCAACGACACACTAATTGTTTATTCAAGCAACTCTCTGCACTCGTGGCGTCATGGGTAGATTCTTTTACATTTTGGGAAATTATGTTCTTGCCCTTGTCCAGTACTCCAATTGTGATTTTGCTCCTCTTTTTTTAACTTTGTAATTTTACCCTCGCTTTTTTCAAACGAAGCTACCGTCTACTCCTACTTTGTAACACCGTCTAAAATGCTGGGATTAAATGGTAAAAAAAAAAGAAAAATAAAAGACACCTACATGAAAAGACAATGATACCCCTCGGTCCCTTTCTCCTTTCTCACCCGTTCGCTCGACCCGTTACCGACGAGAAGTCGTGGCTCGCAGAAGGTTTCGCGGCCTGGCAGCGGCGTAGCTCCTCCTCCCTCCTTCCCGCTCCCCCCCCCGGGCGCGTCTCCTCCTCCCTCCGCCACACTCCGGCGGCGCGGCTCGCGTGTTAGGGTTTGGGGAGTACCGGCGGCGACACGACTACTGGCGGCAGCGCACCACCCCACTCCTCCCCAGGCTCGCGCCCACAGTGGCTGGGGCGCCGCGTGGCCTGCGGCGGGCTCCGCCCCAACCCGTCCCCCCGGCTCGCGCCCGCTGCGACGCGGCTCCGGTGCCTAGCCGCGGCTCCCGGCGGCGCCTGGAGTGGGTCTCCGCACCGCCTCCTCCCCTCCTTCCTCCGCTCCTCCTCCCCACGCAGGCTCCCGTGCCCGCCTCCAGCTGCCCCGCTGACGGCGCCGCACCCGGCCACCGATGGGGCCGCCCTAGGCGTCGTCGCGCGCCTCATGGACCTGGAGTCCTGGCCCACCACCGCCGCGCTGCCCAGACCACGAGCACGAAGTCACCAGCAAGCCAACGACGCCCTCCACTGCACCTTCCGTGGCAACCACGATGGCAGATCCATCTCTGGACATCTCCCTCGCTTCCTAATTCTGCATCACCGAGCAGGCCACTGACCACGACATCACCGGCTCCGTCTTTGGCAAGACAGCGACACCGACCACGGCAATGGCATCCGCCTCTACCTCGTCGACCTCTATGCTGCCCCATGAGGTCGCCCCCACCATATCCATCGAGACCACAAAACACCTTTGGGAGACGCACGCCAGGTGTTCGATGTCGTGTCGCGACCCGGACGCCAAGGTCGTCGACGGTGGCTTTGCCACGCAGTTGGAGGTGCTCGGTGCTGACATCAACGACCCGCTCGAGAGCGTCGCTTGCCTCATCACCAGGCCGCACCTCGTCAAGGAGGTTCATATGCAGTATCTTGAAGCAGAAGATTTACTGCGAACAAGTGTAAAACTGGCCGTTGATGCTCGCGATGAATTCTGGAAGTCAGCACTTAGGAAGTCCAAGCCTATCCACAACCGTGCTCTGGTTGCGGCATCCACTAGGAGCTATGGAGCCTATCTTGCTGATGGATCAGAGTACAATGAATCATACAGAGCTGACATCAGAGCCGAAAAGCGGAAGGACTTCCACATGCGCCGGCTGCAAGTCCTTGCAAGTGCCGGTCCTGACCTGATTGTGTTTGAGGTAACGCCACAGGCTACTTATACTTCCTCATGTGATTACTGCAAGTCAGTGGAGTTGTGCTACCATTGCATCTCAGATATGGGCAATAATCTTCTCAATATTAGTAGAACCAACCATAGGCAAAGTAGCAAGACACCAAAACCTCCATGGCTAGAGATGAGAAAAACATGCATCGGATCAACACTTGCTATTTCAGTACATGTACAGACAGCTGCAAGATTTAGGACATGGTTGGTGTGGTGGTGCCATAGTGAGTGGATTGGTTTGCTTCAGTCAAATTATTGGAGGGAAGTATAGTGGAACTATTGCCAGCTTTCTGTGGAGGGCAACGTAACTGATGAACAGTATGTTTATTTGATGCATAGCTGGAAGTCCCCATGGGTGTCTTATATATGCAGAAACATTTCTGGCCACCATCCTGCTAGTAGCTTTGTCATGGTATACATGGGCATCAACATTGCTCAAGCAAATTGGAAATGTGGTGTATATCTCAAGTGCAGTTACACTGGATTTCTGGAGGCCAGTTGTCTTGTTTCAGTCATGTCAAGATGCTATTTTATTTGACTCTGAAGCCTACTGCAAGTTGAGTTGTGGAAGGATCATCACTCCTAAATTGTTTTATTCTACTGCTGGCCATGAAAGGGGTGGATTTAGTTTTGAAGAAAATTGTTAGGGTATCTTCTACTATTTCTTTTGTGTTGTTGCACACCTAGTTCATCACTCCATTTCGGTGTTGCGGCATACAAGGATTCAACTGTTACAAACAGTATGGCAGCGAAGGTTCTGGAGATGTCTCTACTACCATCTTCATATCAATTTATGTTGGTACATTATGTGAGTCACAGAGTGATTGCTAATGAAACCAATCAGCATCAGCTTTGGCATTTCACTAAGACAAATCAGTATATCTCTACTTTGGCATTTGAGTCGTGGATTTTGGAGACCCTTTCATCGGATGGAGAACTATTGCCATTTGATAACATATCATTCACTGATCTTTGGGAGATTGCTCAATGGATATCACTTCAAGGAACATTGGACTCGGGGCCTGGAAAACGTCTTCTTCCGCCCTGACACTGCCCCCCAATAATGAGCACCGCCACCGATGAAGCCCAACAGATAGCTGCAAACTAAACACCCAATTAGGTCAAAATAAGGACCTTCGAATATCGCGTCCATGGCACCCAACACCAGCTAACTTCCGAGGCCCCCACAACTTCCAGAAATACGAGGGGAACACCAAACAGCAAAACAGAAGAACTATCGCCTCACCATGAGGGCAGCATGTAGGCATAGAGAACAACCACTTTGTCGTTGTCGTCGGCGACTTGGCTATGCCGGAGATTTCTCGTAAGATCGAAGTGCCATCTGTTTCAATTTGGTTATATTAATCCGATGTTGAATATCTTTTTATTCATGTCATTCTCTTTTCCAATTTGGTTAGTAAATACATGGTGTAGTTTTAGTGCTTATAGTGTTACACGAACCAACTTGAATGGCGGTTACTTTTGCTGAAAAAACATGTACTGTATGACATTCCTATGTGGTAAGGTACTAAGATTATCAGTGCAGACATCTACTTATACATTTTGTTAACCGATGTTCTACATGCATTCTTATACATTGAAGATTTTTGGTCCCATACAAAAGATTATATCAATTGTCAGCATACAATAAAAAAGTCTAATTCTAAATAAGGGTAAAATCACAATTAGGCATAACAAACAGGGGTAAAATCGTATAGGCATTCATGTCCTTTTGTACAAAGTTTAACACCGTTAGGGGTGGATGATGGAGCAGGAATAAACTGGTGCTTCGTTTTGAAATCATAGAGATAAATTCACAAAGTCAAAAAATTAGAGACAAAATTATAATTTCGATATAAAATAAGGGTAGAAATGCGAGAGCACCCTACATTTTTATGCATCTTCAGCCTAAGCGAACTGACGTTTGATAGTACGGCGTGTTAGGATTAGACACATATGCTGGGCTATAAGCCTATAACGTCCACTGAGACAAAATTTGAATCCTCAAACGGCTGTCATGCGATGACTAGACGATAGACAATTGAGTGAAAACACTAGAGCTGCTGGAAGCACATTGTGGCCTTGTTTAGTTGGATGGATTCGGCGTGGCCGGATTCACGGTAGCGTATTGTAGTATTTTGTTTATATTTGGTAATAATTATTCAATCGTTGACTAATTAGGTTCAAAATGTTCGTCTCGCAAAGTACAACTTAACTGTGTAATTAGTTTTAATTTCGTCTACATTTAGTACTTCATACATGTACTATAAATTTAATGTAACGAAGAATCTCCATTTTACATGGCGTCAAATTAAAAATTGAGAGCAATTAAACAAGGCTGTACTTGAGAGGGCTATGACTTCCCTTCAGCGCTTTCTAAAAAGCAGTGCATTGTTGTTTTTAGGGGTATAAGGGTTCTCTTGTGTACGGCATGGTGCATACAGCTCTATTTATAGCTGCGTGAGGTGCTGGGCATGGGAAAAATTACGGAGGTAGTAAATATCTACAGCAACGAAGAAGGTACAAGTTTATCTTTTCACCGTATAATTTTAGGGGATGTTTTGATTCGGTAACTAAAATATAGGAGGTGTCATGTGAGGGTGTCGCATGAGGTGTTTAGATACGAATAAAAAAATAAATTGTAGAATTCGTCAGTACTACGAAACTAATTTATTAAGTCTAATTAATCCGTCATTAGCACATGTTTACTGTAGTACTACATTGTCAAATCATGGACTAACTAGGCTTAAAAGATTCGTCTCGTAAATTAGTCACAAGCTGTGTAATTAGTTTCGTAATTAGTCTATATTTAATACTCCATGTATGCGTTTAAATATCCGATGGGACAACGACTAAAGTTTAGGAGGAGAAACCAAACACCCCCTTAGCTTTTTTCACCGTGTTCTTATCCCTTTCTACCTATACAATCCAATTTCGTAATTAATCTATATTTAATACTCCATACATGTGTCAAATATCCAATGAAACAACGACTAAAGTTTAAGAAGAGAAACCAAACATCCCTTAATCTTTTTCACCGTGTGTTCTTATCCCTTTCTACCCATACAATCCAATCCTTTCACCCCTAAGGTTCAACCGTGGGCTACACGGTCTCTCTCTCCCTATAAAAGATTAAAATTTTGCCTTGCTTTTACGTAGTAAACGAAAAACATACTTTACTGTTTTATTTATTTTTATTAAGTCATATTCTATATATAAGTGTGTATATATATTTTGATCTTACATACAACATCTCTATTTCCTGCTGACTTATGGGACCTAGGGGGCAAAGAGACCAACAACTCATCTAAACTGATTTTGTTGAATAAGTGATCGGCGGACAGTCTGCAAGATCAGTGGAACATTCCGTTAGAACACTGGATTTGGAGAATTCGATTTAGTGAGGAAGGTTTGGCAATGAGGCCATTGACCTTGCTTTAGGGGCTGATAAATTCCTTCAAAGAGATTGTGAGGTCACTTGGCCATAATCATTGAGTTCCTTCTCAAAGTCCATTACGGAGAACCAATAAGATTGATTGGCGATTTTGGATTCCTTGCCCTAGCAAGAAGAATACTAGGAACCTTTCAAAGAAAATCATGAGGTGATTCCTAAGTTAAGAGGGACGATGTAAGGTTATCAAGAAGGGTTTCATTTGGAACGACTTTGGGTCGTGACATTCAGGGAGGTCAATTAGACTTAAAAAATATAAATAAATTTTAAATACTTTTAGAATAGTATACATTTTAAAAATACTAAAATATGATTTAATATTAAAAAAACATAAGAAATTTGCTTTAACTCAGAAAAAATAAATGTAAATCATGATCTACACTCTACATCGTGAAGATTTAGGTTTGCCTTGTGCCATCCAGTCCATCCCTCCAACCAAACATATATCCTAAGATGCCACTATATATTGGGCAACAGTAAGGCAATCCCTCCAAAGGCGAGCCGATCCACTTGCCCTCAGAGAATCTCTAATAGTATTTCTCAAACCACTTTCTAAGCCTAATTCACTTGGAGAGCCATTGTACTAAAAAGACACTCTCTATATCTCTCTCCACATTTGAACTTCTGTATATCTTTTTTTTTTTGGTATTTAGAGAGCTAGCTTCGTTTTCTATCTTTGACGAGTGAGAATCTAGGAATAGAAGCAATTAAAGTTTTTCTACGAGAAAGTATAATGGTCATGTACCTCCGGTACGGCCCCTCCTCCGTAAGAAGAAATACACCATGTTCGGCTAGCTAGAAAAACGGCTTATGCTGATTTGTTGTGAGAGAAAAACACTGTGATTTCGTTGAAATGGTACGGCTGATAAGTTCAAGCGAACATGGCGATATTTTTTTTGGGCCCTCGTAATAATGGAAAGAAAGGCCCACAAGGAACAAGATGTTTACCCATGTACATGTATGAGTAATTATTTTTAGGCTAGTTTAAGTGGAGAGTTTCATTTTATTGTTTCTAACTCTGTCATGTCATATGGAATGAAATGAAATTTAGACGAAACACTTCAATGCAAAGTTTTATTATAGAGCTTTGTAGTCATTTAATTTTATGACTCATCAAGGATCGATAATCGTGCCAAGAAAGTTTTATCTTCATCTAAATAAAACTCATTTCTTTTCTCTCTTTTTTTATTATACCGACGTATCATCGAAATATCTATGTGACAACACGGCGTGGAACACGTCACCCCCATCACCAACTGCCCGTCCCTTTCGCGGGCTTCTTCCTTCAATTCGCTTCATCATTCACTTGTGTGTCCTGTCCACACAATAAACCTACCTCCACGCCCTGGATACTGACACGCGGGCCAGGCTCACGCTCGGCCTCGGGGCCCAACACGGGTGACACATCGTACGTCTACGCATCAATGCGCCTCCCGACTCGCCTCGTGGCCGTACCCCAGTAGCTTCAATCAAAAAGACAGGCCCAGCCCAGCTGCCCAGGAGAGGAGGAGGGAGCCAGCCCGGGCCCAGGGAGGTGACTGGACGTAGTACGTACGTGGACGATGCCAATCCCAGTGCCTGCAACTGCCATTGGTCCGGACTCCAGTTCCTCTTTCCCCCTCCTCCACTCCGCTTCACCCCTCTCCATCTCCGCCTTGACTTCCTCTTCATCCTCCTCCTCAATCCGCTCTTTCAGGAAGCGAGAAGAAGAGCAAGCTACACGCGACAAGGGTGAGTAGTCTCTTGCTCCAACCGCCTTGCCTACCGTTGACTCGCTTTTCCCTGCCTCGCTCAGCTCTCCTCTCCGTGAGCTGAGCTCTACTCTGCCGCGCGCGTTCTTGCTTGCTCCTCCTCTGCTCCACCTCGCCGTTGCCGGGTAGGGTAGGTCGTCGATCTGGACGCTTGCTGTTTCCATACTTTCCATTACTGGTAGTAGTAGGATGCATGAACTGAATGTTCACTCTGCAGTCTGCATAACTAAGCTTGCTGCACTGCATGCGTGTGGCCGTGCCAACATCCATCCTCTCACAAAATTCTCCATCACCTGCCTGTATTGACTTTTCTGCAGGGGGATAGGAATAGGATCATGGCCGGGCGCCGGCGCACCCACCACCACCTCATGCTTCCGGCCACCGCCTGCCTGTGGGCTCTGTCATGCGCGCTGCTGCTGCTCCGCGCGTCGTCAGCGTCCCCTCACGGCCTGCTCAGGGTCGGCCTCAGCAAGCGCGGCCTCGACCAGCACGCGCTGCAGGCGGCTAAGGTCGCGAGGCAGGAGGATAGCCTCCGCGGCCGCCTGGGGGCCAGCAGCAGCAGCGGCGGCGACGACGTCCCGCTCGTCGACTACCTCAACACCCAGTACTACGGGGAAGTCGGCCTCGGCACGCCGGCGCAGAACTTCACCGTCATCTTCGACACCGGCAGCTCCAACCTCTGGGTCCCCTCCTCCAAATGCTACTTGTCGGTCCGTCGTTCATTGCTTTCTTTCTTTTTGTATCTGATGTTTGGTTTGCCATTGCCATGTGTACATTTGCATAATTGGAAATAGATCTGACTGTTGTTTGGTTCCACTGAACTGCAGATAGCGTGCTACCTCCACCCCAGATACAAGTCCGCCAAGTCTAGCACTTACAAGAAGGATGGTATATATTTGTGATTTTGTGGCCTGGCCTCATCTTTTTTTCTTCTTCTTGTTTTTTTTTAAAAAAGAAAAAAAATGTTTTGTGGGTAGTTCAAAGGCCATTGCTAAATGCCTCTACTCTTTCTTCCTCAAATTGTTCAGGAGAGACTTGCAAAATCACCTATGGCTCCGGTTCAATTGCTGGATTCTTCAGCTACGACGACGTGCTGGTTGGAGACCTTACTGTCAAAAGCCAGGTAAATCTAACACTAACAACACCTGCCTCCAGTGTTGACATTCACGCGCGGCGGGACTGTATCTCTAACGCTGCAAATCAATCTACCCATTACAGAAGTTCATCGAGACGACGCGCGAAAGCAGCATCACGTTTATCATCGGCAAGTTTGATGGCATTCTTGGTCTTGGATACCCTGACATCTCCGTCGGCAAAGCTCCTCCAATTTGGTATATAGTCTTGTGCCTGTGTTACCATGTAGGTCGCTGGCGTTGGCTTGCCTGTTTGCCATTTAACAGGAGACCTGTTTTTTTTCTCTCTCTTTGCCAGGCAGAGCATGCAAGAGCAAAACCTGCTTGCGGAAGATGTTTTCTCCTTCTGGCTTAACCGAAACACTGAAGAGGAATCTGGTGGTGAGCTTGTCTTTGGCGGCGTGGACCCTGATCACTTCAAGGGAAACCACACCTATGTTCCTGTTTCCAGAAAGGGTTACTGGCAGTTCAACATGGGGGATCTTCTCATTGATGACCAGTCCACTGGTTTCTGCGCCAAGGGCTGTGCTGCTATTGTCGACTCTGGGACTTCTTTGCTGGCTGGTCCAACAGTATGTATCTCTATACTGATGATCCTGAAATTCTATCTTTTGCACGATCATAGGCACTTGGGTTACAAAACTTGAGCTGATTTGGAGTCATTCATCAATAGATTAATTACTAGAATATGTAGCATCAGTAGACTATTGACTAGTCTTTACACAACTGGACAAGGTGCCTAGGTACTGAGTCTGAATGGGAGTACAACTTTTGCAATATGCCATGACTAAAGACCTGTCTCGTGTTTTTTTACAGACAATAATTGCTCAGGTGAACGAAGCAATTGGGGCTGCTGGAATTATCAGCCAAGAATGCAAAGAAGTTGTGAGCCAGTATGGAGAGATGATCCTCGAACTGCTCATAGCACAGGTTTGCTAGCTTCTGCATTTCTTATCTTTCGTCAGACTTCTGACCGTGGAACGGGTGTTATAGATGATTGTGCTCTGTTAAACTAGTTTTCAACTCCAGTAATTTGGTAATGCTTTGACACTGCAGACATCTCCAGAGAGAGTGTGCAGCCAGGTTGGTCTGTGTATGTTTGATGGCGCTCAGTCTGTCAGGTGAGCCTATGATTATTGCAGAGTACCAGACCATCGTACAGTTGTGATATACGCTGATAGGATCGATGATCCTCGGCGACTCTCTGGAGGTTGTAGGGGAAGGTGACGGTGGCGGGGCCTGAACCCCCGCGTGACGAACAAGGAAGGATAAGTAGGAATTTGGATAGAATTTGGGGAATTTGAGAAGAACAGAGGGAGCAGAAGAGGGGAATTGAAGAACAGAGAAGAAGCAAATGGGGGAAACGGGTTTTCTGTTATTCCATAACCGCTTCCAGGTTTCTTACAACGGCTTATAAGCCACTCCGCCGCCTCTTTGGACCGAGCCCCTACACCTACATGGGCCAAGCCCAACTCTTCTCCATACTCGACACAGTTACGAAGCCCAACGCCAAATCACTGTCACAAGACAACACTTAGCCACACTACTTCCCGCGCCTCCTTCTGCAGTTTCTGACACCCCGGCGGCGAGTGGGCGCCGTGAGAGCGCCGGCAAGGAAGATGAGGGAGAGAGAGAGGGGGAGGGTGGGAGGGAGACGTTGGGAGAAGCTCAGCAAGGCAGCAACAAGTCTGTTGTATTTATTACCATGATTCTTTTTTCGGTCTAAGAATTAGAGTCACTGAGTGGAGGTTAAAAACCTAGGGCTAATAAAAAATTGTTTAATTTTCTTTGTAATATATATTTTAGCTTTCTTTTGTATTATAAAATAAGCGTTTATTTGGTTCTTATCTACTCCCTCCATTTTAAATTATAAGACATTTTACCTTTTTAGATACACTAGTATATTGCCCGTGCTAACGCTACGGTGACATCTAGAAAAAATAAATCATAAAACTAAAAATTAAATCAACTAATGAAAGAAACACAAATTCACAAACTAATGAAATAAGACCATGCATTATTGTGTGTTAAAAGATATTGGACTTCGGAGATAAGAAACTGAAAAAATAAATAAGAAAAGTGCAAACTGGATACTTGTTCTGCCTATCACAGCCCAAACATTCATGTCTAAGGTATCCATGTGAGTACTTCAATAGATAGATATATATATGAGCTGGAAAATTAGTAACAATAGCAAAGCTACATATATATAACTGGAAAATATTGCAAATCTCACAAGAACAATTGTTTCAATAGCAATGTTTTTGTACCCATTCTTGATATAGACAGGTAGAAGGGCAGGCCTGGTGCAGTAGTGAGAGCTGTCTCACTGAGTCACCAGGTCATGTGTTCGAAGCAGCCTCTCTGTAGATTTTGCGGGGGAAGGCTTGCCTCGGTTTTTCCCTTCCTCAGACCCCACTCATGTGGGAGCCTCCGGCACTGGGTCTACCCCCTTGATATAGATAGGCAAGCATTATATATTTGTATCGAGAATATGGCATGTAAATTAATATTGATTTATTACATAGTATAGTAGATACATAGTTCACCACAATACAAGTGAAACGGGAAATGTTGTATATACACCCGAGCCAGGATGATTGGGCCTCACCGTACTACGACGTGTTAGCATCATTCATCTTGTTGACACTTGAGAGCGGTGAAGGTCTCCATCTCATCCTGCCACACAGAAACACGAAAAAGGATTTATTGAAGTTTAGTTTACGTCAACCACTCAGCAAGAAAAATGCACGGTTATGAGGGCTGAAAACCATATCCACAATTATGCACGTCCTGACACTCCTATAGGAACCATATCAAAGCCATGCAAGCATACAATCCAGATCATTCCAGCCCCGCGCAGGTCCAGCGTCCTATAGGAACGAACGGATCAAGCCAGCAGGCATGCTCCGAATATCACCCATGGGACAACGGTTCCCCATTCAGATAAATGAATTAGGGAAGTCCATGAACAAAAGGTAAGAGGCTTTAGTATCTTCAGGCAGTAATATTACCAGCGCATTTGTATTCCTTAGATACTGAAAAATTTATTCCTAGTTTACTTGAATATTACCAGCGTATTTTCATTCCGAAAAATTTAGACTTTGGTGATTGAAGGAGCCAGGAAACATATCATTTCAGTTCAGTCATACCCCACATATTCATGTTCCCATGAACCAATATCACCTTCAGAGCCGAACAAACGGTATTTCAGGCTCTCCTGGAACAAGATGTCTCAGTTCCAGATTCACGGGAACAGCTGAAGAGGGATCTAGTGCCTTCTGTACACATATCAAATGAATAAACATTAACTAAATCTGCCATAGATATCAAACATAATAAGAGGGATCTCTGTCAATATCACAACAAAAATCAGAACTATAACTGACTGAAACGAATCCAATCAGTCAAATCAGCGCCCCAAAATCAATACAGAAGAGAACCTGAACATTGCATCCAGTCCACACAAATCGACCGAACTCGCTTCACTAACCAAGCATCACCCCCTTGATGCATTGAAACCCATGATGTTCATCGAGTGAAATTTAACAGGTTGATTAAAAGTTCCATATAAACACCAAAGAAACTACCAGAAGCCTAGGATGCCTCTTGATTATATCAACTATTTTCTCAAGCAACTCCTTTTGATATACTGACCCTGTTGGATTAGATGGCGACGTAGAGAATTAAGAGAAATTCAGGATTCTGGATTAAGAACATACCTGCATCGAGCAAGATGGTCGATGGGGCTGCTACATCGTTGGAAGAAGATGGCGGAGCTAGATCCATGGGGCGGCGGGAGTGGGAGACGGAGGCGCGTGGCGGACAGGTTGCTCGAGCCTCAGGTGGCATCGCCACGGGCGGACCGGGAGAAGGAGAGGAATCAGACATTTTGCATCTGCAAAAGAAGAGAAAGGAACAGAGAAGAACACACCTGCACGAGAAAGATGGTCGTGATAGACTTAGTGGATCACCTAGACATAGATCTAGCGGGTATAACCTTGCGTACGGGATGAAAACTTTCTAGAACATGATCTAGAGAGAGAGAGGAAGAGAGATGAGATGTCACCGACCATCCGCAGGCTTGGAGGAAGAGCTCGACGTAGCCATGGCGAAGGTGATGCGGTCCGGGTCGGCGGTGTCGCGGTGACGGTGTTGAGGTAAGTCATAGTGCAGTGGTGGTGCAGAGGCGGCGGTGAAGACGGCAGTGGAGCTTCCCGTCGCCAGCTGTGCCCCTCACTAGATCGGATTGGGTTTGTCGGTGGGTGTGGCGGCGACTCACAATGAACCTCGTACTGAGAGCCGCCGGCCTTCACCTCTCTTTATAGCGCAGTGCGACGGGCCCCCACCAACCATGTAGGGTTGGGCGCCCCCGATCAGGGCGCGAGGTCAAGACCCAACTCGGCCGTTGGGCCGAACTGGAGAGATCAACACTAATAGGTCGACGGGGGCTGCTACATCGCTAGAAGAAGGTGGCCGGAGCTAGATCCGCGGGGCCGGCCGGAGTGGGAGACGGAGGCGCGGCCGGACAGGTGCCCAAGGCCAGGATGCTGCCGCCACTGGGACCGGGAGCAGGAGAGAGAGGCGCCAGGCGGAGGGAGAGGGAGAGGAGAGAGGAGACGCGCCGCCCGCCCGCCGCCACGCGTCGAGAGGACGAGCTCAACTGCGGTGGGAGCACGGCGGCCACCGCCACGAAGCTTGCTCGCGCTAAGCGGAGGACCACCTCGCCGATCGCTTCCTGTGCCGCCACGCGCGAGGTTCCATCGCTGTCAGCGCCACGAAGTCGCCGACCACGGAGACGCTGTCGCTTCCCACCGACCACTACGACGGCATTGGCGCCGCCATCGATCGTGGGGGGGCAGCCACGACGGTGTCTGCCCGGACTCGCACTTCGACGACGAATCTTCGCCAGAACACTCCTATGGCGGTGTAGCGACGGAATGCGCGAGTAGGAAAGCGGCTGCGGTAGGGAGGCGAGCGTGATTAGCGGCAATATGCGCTGACGCGGGCGCGAAAGCGTGATTAGCGGTTGCTTAGCGTCGGGCGTGTCTTGCTGGCGCCGAGGCCGAGTGAGGAGGTTGACAAGCGATCATGGCCCTTGGATTTGACATTTGAGCAAGGAGCAAGGAGAGTGAAGACTTAGGCTAAATCTGACACAGTCCATTTCAAGATGTTGTTTTTCCGAGTACACTTTTATGGGTAAATGGAGACGGGGTTTCAATGGGGGGCGTTTTTTTTGTGATCTAAGAAAGAAAAAGTTGATTTTGTCATACACTTAGATATGCACTATGTTTGTATACACAATAATATTAATGTATCGAGAAAAGCCAAAACATCACAGAATTTGGAACGGATGGAGTATGCTCTTAGGCTCTTAGCGTGTACATATTTTATCACGTATAATTGTTGTCATCTAAAACAGCCCCCTATGTTCAAATTCTAGCTCCGCCCCTGCACATATCGTCCGCGATCCGCCCGAAACCAAACACATACCGTCCGTGATCCGCCCGAAACCAGACGGATTTGTCGGTCTGGTGAGTGGTGACAACTCAACATCACCTAGAGAAGCACTACTACTAGTCTATATGAGTGAGTACGTACTAGGTACTACCCCCTAAATAAACTATGGAATTACTGCCCCCAGACATCCGATTGGATACCGATCCATCGGACGGTACAGTGGTCCAGGCCGATTCGTTTCCGCACGCGCGGTTGGACTCCGCGCCTGTGCCAGCAAGCCCTCGCCCGCGCCTGCTTTTCGTGCGTCCACGCGGGGCCCGCTTGCGCCTCCTTCCGCTTCCCACGCCTAACCAGTGTGCAACACCCGATCTATTTTTGAACATCTAGATGCAACACTTGCAACATACGTCTGAACATATATGAATCACTTGAAACATCCGTGTGAAACACTTGAAAAAAACACTTGAAAACTATTGTAAACATACGCAACATCCAGATAAAACAATTGCGACATATGTGTGAAACATATGCAACATCCAGATAAACAATCTTGCAACGTCCGTTTGAAAAAAACAGATGAACCATTGAGGACAGACGCTTGCAACATACGTGTACAACCATTGCAACGTATGCAACATCCTCGATCTACTTTTTGCAACATCTCGCATAAAACACTTGCAACATATCTCTCTCACAAAGATTCAAAACAATTGAAATGCACTTGCAACATGCATCCTATCTGGGTGCGGCTTCCTCCGCCGCCTACATCGGGACCGCAGCCATAGCAGGAGGGGCTTCCGCGCCAGGGCTGACGCTTCTCTTTGCGCTGGCGGCGCCTGTCGGAGTCATCGGGCAACGGAGCCGAGCAAATAAGGCGGGTGCGGAGCAAGCAGCGCAGGAGCAAAGGGCGGGCGGAGGAGCAATGGAAGGGGGGACGCATCTGCCCAATTTCAGAAGAGGCGCGCCGGACGAACGCCCCGCACACAACATTTCCGAATAAACTAGTATATATTATAGTAGTATATAGGCTAAACATGTGACATGTCAGCCGGATCGAGCCAACCACAAATCGATAGGTCTCAGACGCTTCTATTGTAGGTCCGGCCTCGGCCTCGGCCGCGTGTGTGGACTCGGACTGTGGTCAAGTGTGGCACGGGCTTGGTTTAGTGGGCCCATATGCCATCCACGTTCGCCAGCGCACTGAGATGCCTGCCAACCGCCTCACCAGGTTGGCCAGTGCCTTTGCAGTGGCATTAGGCGGCGCGCCGGAGGCGCTGTGGGCTGCTTGTCACCGTAATCGAGCCTGGCAATTCCAGATTGATAGGATCGATGATCCTATGGCGACTCATGGAGGTTGTAGGGGAAGGTGGGGCTGTGTGGAAGAAGAGCGAGAGAGAGATGCTGGGAGAAGCCCAGCAACAAATCTGTTGCTTTGTTTAATTATCTCAATCAATGTTTAGGTATATTTATCCCTTCCTAACAAACCAAATTTGAGATCTTATCTCCTAATTTTATGGGACTAAATAAGAAATAAACTAATCAAAGGGATAGCTGGGCCCATTACCCCTTGATGGCCGATGGCCCTCCCTACTAACGCGCTTGCGCCTCTCGTACTGCATGCCGGTCATAACATACGCCAACATGCTTTTTCCCATGTTACTGCATGTTCTTTTCATGCTGTGATAAATTATCATGCAAAATTTTCTGCAGCGAGGGAATTGAATCTGTTGTTGGCAAAGAAAACTTGGGCTCAGATGTTATGTGCTCAGCCTGTGAGATGGCTGTTGTGTGGATAGAGAACCAGCTCCGTGAAAACAAAACTAAGGAGCTGATATTGCAATATGCTAACCAGGTTACTGTGGATTTTCTTTTTGCCATTTGTTCAACTATATAATTTTTTAGATAATAAGTTCAATTATATAATTGGTGACAAGACTCTGCTTGTGTTCCAGCTATGTGAGCGTCTACCAAGCCCCAGCGGAGAATCAACAGTCAGCTGCGAGGATATCTCAACGATGCCCAATCTTGCATTCACCATTGCAAACAAGACCTTCACCCTAACACCAGAGCAGGTGCTTTCCAGTAGCCCATCATATATCGTTTTCAACTAATATTAGCATTTCTTCATTTTTATAAAATAAAGTAGCCAATTTTTTCAGCAAATGATGCTATCAATAAATGATTAATCAAATTTACTGAACATTTTGTAAACAAGATATATATTAGTAGGCTAAAACATTTTATACTTGATGTTTATTATTAGTAGGCCCGAACATTTTATACTTGATGTTTATTAGAAGGAACCTATCCTAGTTTAATAAGGAATGAAGGATCCAGTGTTGGGGCAGTTAGTAACTCAACATTTGAGGGCAACAATTTTGAAGTCTTGAAGTGACATGATCAGTAGTTGACATTTGGAACCAAAAAGTGCCTAGTAGATGTATTGAAGATAAATTTATAGGTATTATACTCTACATGGTTTGAAGTGAAGTCGTTCTAGTTCACCTCAATTTCCTTTGTTATAATTTTTTTTTTAGAATTGTTATAATTTATTTATTTAGACAATCATTCCTGCAAGTGGGTACATCCCTCAAACCTTGTGAAACATGTGTTGCAGTACATTGTGAAGCTGGAGCAAGGAGGCCAAACTGTCTGCATCAGTGGCTTCATGGCATATGACGTCCCACCCCCGCGTGGTCCTCTCTGGTATATATGGGGGACATGACATTGCTTCATACCTTGATATTTTTCTTCTACCCCATCTCAGTCTGAGAGCTTTGCATATGAACAATTGTAGGATTCTTGGGGATGTCTTCATGGGAGCTTACCACACGGTGTTCGACTTCGGCAACGACAGGATTGGCTTCGCGGAATCTGCATGAGGAGTGTGGGAGCACTCTGCTCTTTATGAAGACATCGTATCTATTAGGGATGTGTAGTTTCTCTATCCGCTACGTGCAGACAGTACGCTGAAAATAAATGGATGGCCAAAAATGCTGAAACTGAAAATATGAACAGAGCTTTCTTTCTGGAGGAGCAAATGGATGCTCGAAGACATGTATGTATGCTTGAAGAGCAAATGTTTGAACAGAGCTTTCTTTGAAACTGTTTGTTCATGGCAGTACAACTTATCATTTGTAAAATAATTTATGGATTGCCTATGAACTGATGAGCATGTATAAATGCAATCTTCTTTCAGTGGGATAGCTCTTGCCTTCTTGGCTATGGCCTATTCTAGTTGCTCAGGGTGTCAAAGTGGGCTATTCTTAAGAATGGAGAGACTGAACATGGGCTGGGCCTGAACAATGATGCCATTTTTTAAGCCTGGCATGAGAGACAACAATAGGTGTATTTACTAACTGTAGCCTCTTTTTTTTTCTGCAACAGTTGGGGCGATCTCCTGCTCTTTATATGTATTAAAATTAAAAAGATAAAAGTTGAGAAATATAATCACCAGGAAAGAAACAAAGAGCAAAATAGAAGGAAAATAAACAAAACTACATCAGGAATCTGTAAATAGGGTCTCTGTTGCCAAAACCGTGATGCAGCAGAGAGGTAGTGCCAAACACAAATATCATCTGGCTAAATGGGTTAAAATCCGTAAGTGAGAAAAAAGGTGGTCTGGCATTAAAATCTCGGGCAGTAGAACATTAGTCTCCCACGTAAATGGTGCTGGAAGTTGAAACATGAGAACGTGCATTGCACTGATTTTCAGTAAAAGAAGAGGAAATGTGACCAAGCGTCTAAAAATACAGAGCCCGGCCAAACAAACAGTTGCAGCACCCAGAAAGGAGAAAGAGGACTGCCACAGAAGCTAGCCCAAACCTCTACCGTAGGATAAAGACGCACAACAGGTCCTAAACACCATAGGTATACAATCAGTCATCCTTTATTTACCAGTTAGGCTATTTAGACCGTGTTTAAATGAAGTTAAATAGTCTTGTATAGTATCATTATTATTATTATTATTATATATATATATATATATTTACATATGTAAAATTTAAATGTACAAGAAAGTATAAATTTAGATGTAAACTTAAGTTCTACATTAATTATTTTTTGTAATGGCAAAAAGTGGTTAATTTAGATCAAAATTTAAGGGTTTAATTATTTTTCCTAATGACAAAGGTGTAACTTAGTTACAAATTTTAGGGGTTATCTTAAATTATCTTTTAGATGGAGTATGTAGGTAATTTAGATACAAATTTATGGGTTACCTTGTGTAGTTTTCATAATGTTGAGGTGGGTAACTTCTTATAAAATAGAATAGATCCCAAGGCTATTATTATCTATGATGATTAGAGTCTACAAAATTAAAGCCTAAATGTTTCTTATTATCGTGCAATTTCCTATGATTTATCTTTTTTCTCGTTACCAACCATGATGATTAGAGTTAACCAAATTAAAGACTAGATATTTCTAATTATTATAATATTTTATAGATTTAGTATGGCTCGTGAGGGTTATTGTGTGGAGTCTCATTTGGAATATCTAATTAATAATAGTAAGATTATTATGCTTATGCATACTAGAATAGAAATAGATTGTTTAACGTGTAGCGAGTGCCGATCCCCAACTAAGTACAGAAGGTATGAAAAATTAAATGGAAATGTTATGGGTAGGGCGTTTGTTCGTCCGGACGCTTGCGTTGGTGCACCTCGACGCCGCCTGAACAGCCCAACACTATCATTCACATGGTCGCACCCATCTCACATTTTGTTAAAAAACACAAACAACTCTGCTCTCACTTTTCTCTCGATCGCTGCATCGCGACCACGCCGTCGCGCCTACACTGCCGCTGCATGCTCTACTACGGCGCTCTCAATCGCGCCTAGACGGCCACCATCCTTCATCTCCACCGCAACCGAGTGCCATGCCCGCCTTCCTCCCTCTCCACCGTGCTCACCGTCCGTCACGCGGCTTCTGTTTTGCATCACGCTCGCCCGGTCACTTTTGTCCCTTTTCGGTGATAGCTTGTGCCAGGAGCGGCGACGAGTAGCCCCCCCCCCTCTCCACCGCGCTTGGCCCGCTTTCTCCCTCGGCGATGGCATCCAGCAATGTGGACGAGATCAGACTGGGATGTTTGTGCTTGCAAACGTAGGTTTCAAATGTTTCAGGTGTTTCAGAGGTATGTTGCAAGTGTTTTATATTGATGTTGCAAAAGTAGATCGGGATGTTCCATATGTTGTAATGGTTGTACACGTATGTTGCAAACGTATGTTCCTAATGTTTCATCTGTTTTTCAGATGTATGTTGCAAGTGTGCTTATCTGGATGTTGTATATGTTTCACACATATGTTGTAACTGTTTTATCTGGATGTTGCGTATGTTTGCAATGGTTTAAAAGTGTTTTCAGGTGTTTTGTAAGTGTTTCAGACACATGTTTCAAGTGTTCCATCTATCTTCTTTTACATGTTGCAAGTGTTTTATCTGGATGTTTCAAAAGTAGATCGAGTGTTGCACATAGGGTGTGCGTGGGAAGCGGAGGGGGCGTGAGCGGTCCTCGTGCGCGGTCTGGCGGCGCGGGCGACGTCCAGGGCGGCGCTGGCTAGCTGCTAGGGCGCTTGCTCGCTCACTGCGCGGGCATCATCCGATGCTAGCTCCCCGGATCGGATATCCGGACGCTAGCAAGTCCCAAAATTAAATTGGCTCTTTAAAAACCTCAATTATAATCCATTTACAATTCTACAACGTATATAAGAGGACTCTGTGGTATACATTACGTGTACAAAGCCGATATGTGTATATGGATGTATGCACAGCTGTTGGTGCATGAGCTTGATTCCAGCAATATGTCATTGCCGGCTATCATTAAGTCTTTGCAAAAGCGCATGCAGTGCAGTCTCACGTGCTCCGGCTGCCGCAGCCGTGGCGGGGTCAGTGCCCCCGCTACCGTTACCACCATCTCCGGCGGCGTCAGCGGCGCCGCTCCGGAGAGCTGGTGGCTCAGCGCCTCCGGCCATGATCGTCGAGAGGGCGGCCGCCAGGGCCGTGGTGAAGTTGGGGTCGCTGGTGATGGCGGCGGTCATGGTCTCCAGCGCCGACCGGTTCCTGCCGTTCAAACCCAACAGCGTCGCCGCCGATGGCTGGGGCGGCGCCACCGGCCTGTGCCCAGCGGCAGCAGGGAAGCCGTACATCGGGAACGGCGGCATGGCAGGGACGGACGACAGCTGACGGTAGTGCTGGAGCAGACCCGCGGCCGCCGCCGACGACGCCGGCGGCGGCGAGTGCGTGAGGTCGAGGGTGATGGTCGGGAACGGCGCGGAGGCGGAGAGCGTGGCGCCGCCCATGGCGGACGCGTAGGGGTGGTGGTACTGGAAGAGCGGCGCCGGGGCCGCGACGTGGTGTCCGGCGAAGAGCGTGCCCGCGTCGTGGCTGACGGCCGGGCTCGACAGGAGCATGGCCGCCGCGGCGGAGGTCGTCTTGGCCATCGCCGCCGCCGCCGCCGGCAGCTGGTGGTTGTGCGTGCCCTCGTACGTGGTGATCAGCACCGCCTTGTCCTCCGCGCACCGTTGCACCTGCACATACATATATGCACGCACACGTGTGTGCCCATCAGTTACTGATGACGTATGCTCATTTCTCCCATGCATGCAGATGCAGATGCAGGCATCTAGCTCATCTCTAATACGCCTGCATGTGTACGTAGGTAAAAGCCAAACACGTAGCAGCATTTTATTAATGAAAGTTGTTAAAGGCAAACACGTAGCAAGTTTGAGCAAAATATTTTAGAGGGACGGTCGTCCGTCTGGTGAGATGTCACAATCTGTAAACAGTTTGATCTTCTATTTGTAAATGTTCATTTGGGGACAGGTAAGGCGAGAGAGAGAGAGAGAGAGAGAGAGAGGTTCAAAACAATAACGTATGCAAGCGTGGAACCTGCAACTTTAGCATATAGTATGTTCACATTTAAATGTCATCGTCTATCATAGGATAATGTCGTCAGAGTTGCATGCAAAGGTATATTCAAAATGTACTTGCAGCTGGTTTGTTAGTTGGGTGCGTGTGCGTTTTCAAATGCCATATTTGACACGTATATCCAAATATTGAAATGCAAAGAAAGTGCTACATGTGTTTGAATTGTGCTGCGGAGCACGCAACGTATCAGACCATGGCATATAATAATACACCATGCGATCATTTGCTTGTTTATTAGCTAAGTACATACATGTTGCATTATATTAGTATTCAAATCAAGTACACTCAGCAACCTTTTGTTTGGCATTTCCTTGACCAATAGCTAGGAAAAACCTGTCCTTGAATATAAGCTAACGGAAGAAGAATGCACAGTACCGTAACAATTCTATCTTCGTTTTAAATTGCAAGTCGCTTTCGTTTTAAAAAGTATCTAAATAAAATGTATATCTAGACGCATAGAAATGTTATGCATCTATAAAAGCAAAAAAAAACTTAACGGAGAGAGTATTTACGAACCGTAATATGCATAGATAATAGATTGTTAGTGTACGTAATATATACCTGCTTCCTGACTGGGCATCCCGTGGCCATTGTGCAGCGGTAGTAAGATCTGGGGCATGGGTTACCCTTGGCCATCTTCTGCCCATACTTCCTCCATGGGCATCCATCGTTGATCTACACACACATGTACACATATCCCCAAACAAAGATTCGTTAAAAATTTGAGGAAACAAACCAGCACAAACATGTGGATTTTGTTCTTTTGAATCCACTCATATGTATTCTAGCTATTTGCTGACAGCAGCAGCATAAATCTGTATCTGCATTCTTACATACCATTGGGGCCTCGGACCGTGCGCGCACGGACACCCTTGCCCTCCGCAAAGGCGCCTCCGCCGCCCGGTCGGCGTTCTCGCTGCGCTCAGGCGTCCTCATCCCATCGTTTTGATCCGCTTGACCGCCGCTTCCTCCGCTGCCACCGTCTGAATCCGCTCTGTCAGCGCTGAACGCTGGCGGGGCCGCCGCCCCTGCTATTGCCGGAGACACGCGGCCGGGGTCCATGAACTGCACTCCCGTCGTCGTTGCCGCCGGTAGCATCGGGTTCGCTGCGCTGGCCTGCATCGATCGATCCATCGACCATTGATCACTTGCCATGAACTAGTCGTGCTCATTAATTGCTTGAGTTAGTTATAAGAGTAAGAAAATGGTGCGTATGAAAGCACCTACCGACTACCGTGATCGGAAATGCATGCATGGGAGCAGTGTAATGTCTCCCAATGTAACATTGACATGAATGAACATGCTAACCACCGTTAGTAAGTGAGGCTTTGCTGTCAAAGCTTAGTTTCTGTTTGCACGGCCAAGCTGCTTTCGATGGCGAGATCTACATATACAACTATATATGTATCTATTTTATCTTCTATATCTATACTTATACCTAATAATATATTAAAGAGCAAAGTGATTTTTCCATCCGTCTTTTTTTTCATCCTAAAATACCATCGCGCTCTCCATGTCATGTATATGTGACCTAAACTTAAGATCCGTGGTCGTATATACGAGTCAGAACAACTCACGTTTAGTGATGGTGTACGGAGTATGACACGTACTCCAAGACATTTAGTTTTGTTACAACGCGGGTTTGTTGTGCTACAGTACTTGTGTATATGTAGTCGGCCTGTGGGGGTGCACACATGGATGGAGACACCTCTCTCCAATCCAAATTAATTATCAATATGCAAATGCATGGGCGATTGACATAGATTTGATTAGCCACCTAAACATCAGGTGTCCAAATTTTTCTCGGGATGTTAATGCTTGAAGAAAGTCAACAGAAAAGCAGCTTGCATTTAAATTCAATACGGTAAACACTATAGCTAGTGGTGACGGAAACTAAATGAGGTGCCCATCTGAACCACCGTAGAGAAATTAGCGGCATTAGGACACTCGCAATAGTAATAGTGCTAACTTTTAGCACATAGGAGTAGCTTATAACATGGATAGCCCCACTTAACACTCTCACATGATCTTCAAATGTGTGCAAGAGCTTAGCTCTTAATCAAGAGTGAGCTTTTCTTTCTCTTCTATTAAAATAAAAAAAATACTTAAAGCTAGCTTAAAAGTCGATTGTTAGAGCTGTCCTTAGTTGTTTGTTCACGTATGATTGGAAATGCTGGGCATGCATGCAACTTTAAGGAAATGCTTTTACAATGCATAATTTCTACAATTTCATCGATCATTAATTGGTGTACATCGCTATATATGAAATTTATTCTTGGTTAGACACATATATGAAGTTATTGGTTGAATATATATTAGAACAAGACCTAATTTGAGGAATCAAATGGATCCAGAACGGAAAATATGAGTCAAATAGCTAGGTAGGGTGTCACAGATTGCAATTAATAATTAGCATGCATATTTATATTTATATACATATGCGCGGGTTTGTAGGAACGATCGATTTAAAATTTGTGTGAATGTGAAGTGAATAAAGTATCAGTAGTATGGCTTTGCTGGCTGCTCCATTCACGAGGTAGGAGTACCTTTTTTTTTCTTTGATGATTATATATAATAGTAACACAGAGACATTGAGGAGATCTTTTTGATAACAAGACAAGTACAACGGTGACTAGGTAGGAGTACCTATTCGCTTGAGCTATTTTTTAATTATAAAATAATATTTTTCTCTCACAATATTTTAGCATAAGTATCAACATAAACCAAATTTCAGTATAAGTGAACAGAGTCATATCTTTTTGATAACAAGACAAGTACAAAACGTTGACTAGGTAGGCTCCAATTAAGACGCGTAGCCATTTCTTTTCAACAAACTTTGAACTTGAAGTCTTGAACACGAATCAAACCACCCAATTAGCTAGTTTAGGTTTACCATACCTGTTGCTGCTGCTGCTGGGCTTGAATGAGCTGATGGTAGAGCGCGCTGTGGCTGCGGGTGAGCTCCTCCAGCATCCGCCGCAGCCGCCGGTTCTCCTCGCCGGCCTGCCGGAGCTCCCCCTCCACCGCCGCCGCCGCCACATCCACCTGTTACTCCACCACATATATGTGTAAGAGGATCGGATCAGTCACCATGAGTGTGCATGGACCGTGCTACAACCAAGATCAATACAAATTCTGATGTGGAAGAAGAAGAACGAACAAGATCAGACGAAGAATCTTACTAGTACCTCTTTATCACGACCACTCGCCGTGCCCTCGCCGCCGTCGACTGCTGCTGGCGTCGCCACCGCCGCCCTGGTCAGCAGGTCTAGTGCAGTCTGCGATGACAGGAAACAGTATACGAATCAAAGAACGTACAGGCACAACAGCAGCAGAAACAAGCAAGGCTCATGTATATACATGTAAGTACGCATCGTTGATCTAATGGCTGTCTTATTAATTGCAAGCACAGACATCAATAATCAATAATCCCAAGCTCGATCGCGATCTCGACGGGGAGACTTACGTTGACCGTGGTATTATCGCAGCCACCGTCCTCGCCGTCGGTCCTGCGCCGAGCGGCAGCACTGCAGGCGGCGGAGAAGAAGTCCACCTCCTTGATCTCGCTCCTGCGCCCGCCGCTGCCGCCGTGACCGAAAGCCGGCCGGTCCCCGTGCTCCGCCAAGACCATCATCATCTCCTCTTCCTGCTCCTCCTCTTGCTTCTCCTTGCTCTGCTGCTGCTTCGGCACCAAGTCCATGGATGGTCGGGTTGGAGCGAGAGGTATCAACCCAGGTAATGGTGAGGAAGAACGGCTATATACAGCTCGTGACGACCTGCAGTGCCGTACTAGCTAGAGAATAGAGAGAGAAAAAAAAAGGAGAGGAGAGAGAGAGAGAGAGAGAGATGTCCAACTATGCAAGCTACTACTACAGAGTACAGTGAAGAAGCCGGAAACGTGAAACGGAAAGACTTGGACTTTGAACTTGTCCATAGGAACGAGACGGCTGGAGGAGTTGGACCAATGGCACGGGGACGAACTGGGTGGGCCAGCCCGCGTGGCGTCAGCGTGAGAGCTGGCTGAGGCTGGACCGGAGGGGACGCCGTCCTGCCCACGTGTCGCTGCGCGTGGGCCGGGTCAACTGAGTCAACGGATGCTGCGTTTTGCGACCTGGGGAGTGGCGGAGAGGGGGCCACGAACCATAACATCTCTCTCATTTTTTTAATTATTAAAGTTATTATTTTTATTATTATCAGTTGGGTTCATTTACAATAATATTTGTTCTGTGGCCAAATGGAAGTATGGAACAGGTTTTTCCTCCAACAAATGATACGGAACCTAAAAAACACACCTATTAAGAGTATATATGTCTTTTTTTAAGAAAAATAAGAGTATATAGGTATGTTGTGCTCTGTTGTAATATCCATTGTGGGCTCATCTTTTTTTTTTGTAATAGGGAACTTTTTTTATATATCATGTGCTAAAATATTTGTTCCCACCTAAAAGACTAATATCCTCTCAACACTGCCCAAAATTTTTAATCTTTTTTGCACGCTTAATTGTTCACCATGCATGTTCTGATCATATTGACTAATAAACATGTCAAAGTAACCTGTTTTGTTCGTTTCTTTCATCTGGACACAAATTTATCTGATCTCTTTTATGCCACCAATTGAGCACAAAGGATGTAAATTATATCAAGTCTGGAATCTTAGAACCCATGTTGCACGTTTGATGAGAGGAATAGAGGGTATTTGTTAAAGAGTGTTCAGTGGGCTTATCCTCCACAACAACTGTCGCAACCGCAGCCAAGTAGTAGCACACACTACTACAGAATTAATTTTTAGCAACCAGTTTTTTTTGTGTGTAAGGGCGGCTCAATCCGAATCGAGCTGCCTCTAGAAATGTATTTAGAGAATCGCCTCTACAAAGGTGGAAAATTAGAGGTGGCTATAGAAGCTTCCTAGCCGCCCCTACAGTAGTTGTTTGCAGTTGTGATGAGTGCAACCATCCAACAAATCGAATAATAGTTGTAGCTCACAATGGCACATCCTAATCTGCCAACCCGCAGAACAACCCACGTAACTGAGGCACCCATTAGCCCGCACTGCCCCTTCCTTGACCAGAAATCAAGTGTGGCCACCCCCTTCCTTGTCGAGGCCCCCTATTTCGCTCGTCGTGGACTACCTCTGCAGTTTGAGGAAATACTGGTATGTATATGGAATGTTCCCTAACAGTGGATGCTCACTGAGGCAATGATCTTGCATGCATGGAAAGAATTATAGTTTAGCACTGATGGCATATATGTGTAAATTGTGTTTTCTAGGTGGCGGATAGGGGATTTAGGTTTATGCCAATAACAAACAAAGCATTTTCTCTTTATAAAAGATCTCATGCCCAGTTCATTTTTTTTAAAAATAAAAAACTCATGTCTATGGTCTAGATTCAATACATGGAGTAGTGCCTGAAACATGTTTGTTTGTCGAAACAAATAATCAAATATCTAGTTTGATATGTAAATTCTTGAATAAAAGTGTCGGTGTTTCGAATTGCCACCGGCTAGTAAATTTCTAATATTATACGTCTGGCTCGGATGGTGTGCTAAGAGGACACGAGGTTTATACTGGTTCGGACAGAATGTCCCTACGTCCAGTTCGTTGCTGTCGCTCGTGTTACTAGCACTGAAAGTTCGTAGTAGGGGTTATAAACGGTCGAGAGAGGGACATGTCCCAAGTCTCTGATGGAAAGGGTGAACGGGTGCCGAGAGCTCGGTCGCTGCTCGGTTGTATGTTTGTGTGCTCTAATCAGTTCGGGGTTCGAGTCCGAATCGGTGTGAGGTGTTCTGATCGTTGGTCCGATGCCTGGTTCGATGCCCCTAATGGGACGCCCTGCTTTCCCTTTTATAGGCCAAGGAAAAGTAGGGGTTACAGCGGAGGGAAAAAAAGAAGAATCAGAAGGAGAAGAAGTATTCCAGGATCACCGGGTCCTCCTTCTCTTCTATGCGGGTCCCGCCGACCCTGTAGACGTCAACAGGGACAGCTTCACGTCGTGGCCCTGTCCGTCACTAGCGCCATGTGCAGGCGTCGTCTTCCGGTCATGGCGCTCCATTTTGTCCTGGCAGACGTCGTGGTGAGCTGACGCGCCCATCAGTGTTCGTACAAGGGTTAGGCAGAACAGCGTCGGTTCGCCCGACGCTATTCCTGATGTGAGTCCTCAGGTATGACCCGTCACAGCCACAGGTTATATCGGGGCGTGCCGGTCATCTCCCTGGTGTTAGAGCTTTGACCTAGGCCCATACGCTTGGACCTGGAGTGGTTGGCGGCGGTATGGGTGTCCGTCAGGCGAGACGGAGCCCCCGTCCTCAGGGTCGGGCGAGGCGGAGTTCCTCCCCAGAGGTCGGGCGAGGCAGAGCCCAAACCCAAGGGTCGGGCGAGGCGGAGCCCGCAGCCTTGGTGTCGGGCGAGGCAGAGCCAACCCTCAGGGATCGGGCGAGGCGGAGCCCGTGGCCTCGGTGTCGGGCGAGACGGAGCCACCCTCAGGGGTCGGTTGGAGCTGTAGTCATGCTCTCGACTGCTCGGATGAATCAATGTTGATGGTTATTAGCTCCTCCTATTCGGGTACCCTGGTATTGGTCCCCGATAGTAGCCCCCGAGCCTTCGGAGGAGTAGAGTACTGCTTTAGAATTCTTTTCCTAACGGCATGTCCCGGGGATGTTGATTCCCTCTCGTCGAGGTCAGACCCTTCGCGGGTATGGCCGTGAGACTTGGTGGGTTTGTTAGCTGGCTAGTTCGAGTGGGGTCCTGGCATCCCGTTCACGGGGATCTTGCTAGGGTCAGCTTGGTGACCGACTTTATATTCTCAGCGGTTAATCCATATAGTTCTTGGGTCCGTTCGTCCGGTCCCGAGGGTTCTCTGCCTTTCTTTGAGGAAAAACCATGGATCGTACCTGGCCAAGACTCGATCGTGGGCTGGGATGCCCGTGGCGCTCATGCGCCTAGGTACTGGCCGCTTGCGGGACCATCCCTTACCCTAAGGCTGCCCAGAGCGGTTGTCAAACCCGTCGATGGGCCAACCTTTTAACTCCTGGGCCTAGGCGGGCCATGGAGGTGTTTTTTTGATCCGTATTCCTCTTACTTGTGATGAGTCGTGGCCCATCTAGAGAGGCAAAATGTCCGGCGAGTTTTCCGAGGGAACGGACAGAGATTGCAGGCGCACTTCCCACGGCGAGACGTTGTGGCTGATCGTGGTAGGCACGGAGATCCAGGGCGGTGATTGGTTTCCTCGCACCCATCACCCCTATAAAACCAAATGGTTCGCCCCCGGGTTCCACACCTTGCATCCTTGCCTCCGCCACCATGACCGCCACCACCACTCACCTAGGGTTCCCCGTCTTCACATCCCTGCCGCCGTTGAGCCCGTATCCAACCGTCCCCACCTCCAATGGATCCGTGGTGCCGTTCTGACATCACCTTCTAGTACATGGAGGGTCTCGTCCATCGCGGTCTTCTCTGCGCGTGGTCCTCGGCCGAGGAGTGGCTGTTGCCTGGAGAAGAGGATCTATCGTCGCCGCCCGATGGCTATGTGGTGTCGTTCGCCCACTTCCATGAGCATGGGTTCGTGACCCCCGCCCACAGATTTCTTCGGGGGCTGCTGCACTACTACAAGATTGAGCTGCAGCACCTCAACCCTAATGGGATCCAGCACATGGCGACATTCGTCGTCCTATGTGAGGGATTCCTGGGGATCAGCCCCCACTTTGATTTGTGGAGGTACTTCTTCACCGTCACCCTCCAGAAGAAGAGGGAGAAGAGCGACAGGCAGGAGCTGCACATGCCGATGGGGTGCGTCGGCATCTAACTGCGGAACAACCAGGTCGGCTAGTACCCACCAATGCGGCTGTCAACGTCTAACAAGGGGTGGCATTTGTAGTGGTTCTACATCAAGAACGCCGCTGCCGCCCCTCTATCGGAGTTCACCGGGCGCCTGATCGAAGAGGCCCCGGAGTCGTGGAGGAAGTGGGGTGTCCCAGAGAAGGACAAGAAGAAGACCCGGGACCATATCGCCGCCATCCACATCTTGAAGAAGAGTGGCCTGAAGGGGTCAGGTGTAATTGGGGCCTACCACACAAGGAGGGTGGCGCCATTAATGACACGCGCGCTCCTGCTATATGCGATGGCGCCCGAGGCATCGTTCGACGGAACAACGCTTGCCGAGGGAGCGATCCCCCACTCCGAGGTCGCGCAACGCATTAAGGAGGCGATGGAGCCTTCGTGGGACGATGCGGGCGCCCCCTCGATTTCATCTACTCAGTGCGGGGACATCCTCCGATGCGTCCGGAACCAGGCCATGTCGTCTTCATAAGTTGCCCCTCCTCATACTTCCTCTTCAATTGATTTCTCGACCCCTTGATACTAACTTTGAGAGGGATGGGACCAGCCGAGGCACCTCATCTTCACGGATCACCTGGCGCCATTGCCGAGGGATTCATCCGTGAGGGCGGTGAATCGTGCCAAGGGCGAGTAACTGAGGAAGGCGAAGGAGGATATGAGGAAGAAGAAGCAGCGAAAGCTACAGGCGCGGGAGTGAAGGTGATGATGGAGACGACGACGAGGTAGTCGACGACATTGAGTGGGATGACCTAGAGAATAAGGATGCGCTGACAGGTATTGGTTCGTCCTTGTAGGAGTCAGGACCCTTTCCATTCCACAGAGGGAAGGGCACATACGGGGAGCCGGCAGAGATGGGCCATACCATCGGCC